ATTAACATTGCTTTTTAATAAGAGTATAGTCTATTCTTCAAAGTAATTTTTTCTGTGTCAAATTCTAGTGACTATCGTAATTCAGACAGACGGACAGACGTGACTCAACCGCGTGTGTAATTAATTGTTATGACGTGTTATGTAATGTAATATTGCGATAATTGTACTATATAATATAAAGATGGGTTCACACGGTATATTCGCATAAGTAAATCTTTATCACAACGCTTACACTATTTAAAAAAAAATCTATTTAGTAATTAGATATTTTTAAGTTACCACCATTGTCATAATATTTGTTGCAAATAAATTCTTTATTTGTTAAATAATTGTGTTGAAATTAAAATTATGAAGAGCTAGTTCATTACCATCACAATGTAGTTGTTTTTGTTACATACAATAGGTACAAGATGTACATACAAGATACTCGTATATAGTGAGAACCAAAGTCATCGACACATGGCCGAATGCCGTGCCTGGGGCCCTTAAGAAATGCAATTCTCGAGGCCCTTTCACCTTTTTCTAGCTTATTTAAATACATTTTTCGTAATTACGCTATTAGGTAGATTTCATAGAAATCTAACTGTTGCATTCGTTCTCATAGTGGAATTTTCACCTATTTTTTAATTTTTCTTAATAAAATTTTTACAGTTGCCTAAACTGCCTTATGCATAATCCAGCCCTGCTGATCGACATAGCCCTAAGAATTAACAAATTGAAGTGGCAGTGGGCTGGTTACATTTGTCACAGAATCGATGACAGATGAACTAGACGGGTTCTATTATCTATAGTTGAGACCACGGCTCGGCTATCGTAGTGTGGACGCCCTCTGAAGATCGAGCTCATTGGCGTGCTATAGGAGAGGCCTTTATCCAGTAGTGGACGGAATCAGGCTGAATATGATGATTATAACATAATGAGATTGGCATTCATAAAAAAAACAACATATTACTTCGAAATAGCACCTTGTATTGTATGAGAAGTAAAATTTCTTAACTCTAGGAAAACTTGTATTGTATTATATATTTAATTATATAAATATAAGATATAAACATTATACGTAATATAATATAAAAAGATGTTAAGGAAAAATATCACAATAAGTCTAAGACGTAACCAATATTGAAAGAAGTAAAAGTCATACTTACTGCTTTAAATTAGGTACTTACTTGTTACTTAGAAAGATACAAAAGTGTAAATCCTAAGTCAAGCTACGAATAAATAATTATTTATTTATTATACTTATAATATAATATTTATTATAATTATAATTATAATAAATAAATAATTATTTATTCGTAGAAGTAAAGTTAAATTACTAAACCAAAATTTGTATGTAGCTGCATTTCAAGATGATTTTCAAGTACACAATATTTTTTTGAGCATTAAAATATAACAATTTTTTACTAAACGTCATGATGAAAGTTCTGAAAAAAGCCTTAATTCTGCGAATGTTTGGCGGAAGATACAAAACAAAAGTATTTAGTATATAATATAATAGCGACTCAGCGTCGCTGCGCTCGGGTTTGTCCCTAGGTTGTTTACCTATACAAACTTTAATCCCCATTTTCAATTCTTTAAGGGATGATTTCCGGGATAAAAAGTAACCTGCGTCTTTCCCGGGGTCTCAAACTATTTTCGTACCAAAATATCATTTAAATCATTCCAGTAGTTTCGGAAAAGCCTATAACATATCGGACTGGAGAGCTTTGCTGGACCAGGCTAAGGCCCACCCGGGGCTGTAATGCCTCAGATGATGATGATGAATAGTTTCGGAGCATATCCGGTACAGACAGCCAAACAAAAAAATCTTTCCTCTTTATAATATTAGTATCGATGGATACGTCATTATTATACTGAGACTTGAGAAGATACTTCCCCGGTCCGCTCGATCTAGATTCTCTTATACAAATTACATATTATTTTTTTCTCTTAACAGATTTATTTTAGGTACTAGCAGAATCCGCGGCTTCGCTCGCGCTAAAACTGCAAAAAGTCTCTAAAAAGGTATAGTTTCATATAAACTTTCATCCCCTTTTTTTTTTTTTTTTTTTTTTTTTTTAACGTTGGGAAATGCATTTACGCACGACGTGTGGGACTCACCGGCGTAATACAGCCAGTACTACCCACTAAAACCCAACAAAACCTTCCCCCGTCTTAATGGGGCGTCGCAGGATCGCTTACGCATTCAACTACGACGCCCCGACGGCAGGTCTGCCGAGGCAGACTACCACAACCATGGGGTTGCTCCAAGGTCCACTCTGCTATCAGAGAAGTACCAGGAGCAACCCGCAAGGTACACCGCCCCCCGAAGAGGGCCACCTCCCACCGCCCACCGAAGTGGGCAACCTCCCTGTGCGTTTCTTAGCTTCGCTACTACTACTGAGCCCCCCCACCACGACAAGGTGAACGCACGTTGGGGGGGAAACTTTCATCCCCTATTTAACCCCCGATTAACACATTACACGATTAATTTCGAAAAATGCTAAAACACGTATTTATTTAATTTTATTGAAAAGCATTAATACCAAGTTTCAAGTAATTCTGATTATGAATATTTTTTTGCATTGTATTATAACGTGTTTTCCCGTGGGAATTAGATAATATCCCGCGGTAAGAAGTAGCCTATGTCACTCTACAGCCATCCAACTATCTGGGCACAAAAAAAAATCACGCCAATCCGTCACTCCGTTTCGACGTGAAAGAACAAACAAACAAACAAACACACTTTCACATTTATAATATTAGTATTGATTACAGGAAATATTTTTAAAATTTACTATGCCTTTATACTATTCTATATCAAATAAACTAATTCACAAAATATTACTGTAATAATCACAAAGCATAGACTATAGTGACTTCAAATATAATCATAACAATCGATAATTTTATTTCGGCGGAAGTGAGTTCAATTCCGCTTAAACAAAATCAAATAAAAGCCAGCATAGCATTGATATACAAAAACTCAAGATAGGTACAAAATTAGTGTCTAAAAGTGTCATCAAAAAGATGTATAATTCGTATTTAAAAAAATATTTATGAAAGTCAATAAACCGGACAAGCCTGAGTCTGACTCGCACACAGTGGGGTTCCGTAGCATGCTAAATTAAAACCTATAATAAATTGTGATGTAACTACAAATTTACGGTTCTCGGATTTTTCCCTTTAAGTATGTTTTATAAGATATTGCTTCTAACCAAACATGATTCTAATGCCCGATTTCACCAACGTCACCTAAGTTTAAGGGATCCCCTAAGCATAGTTAGGGGGCTGTTAGGGAACAGTTTCTGTTCCATCGACAGTTAGGGGTCACCTAAATATTAAAAGGTCCCCTAAATTTAGGTGCTCGAAATATGGGCTTGAAGACGATCGTAAAACTAAATTTAATTTAGGGGCTAGTTTAGGGGACTTTTAAGCAAGGGATCCCATACGTAGGTGGTAGCTTATGGGTAGTTGGTGAAATCGGGCATTAGTCAACGGAAAGTAGTCTGTTAAAATATGCGGAATAAATGACCGTATCTTTTGATTGCGTTTATTTAGAAGTTTGATTTCTTCATAGCTCCAAGGGATTCCAAACCGGAGTATTTAATATTAATTTCAACGAATACTCCCACGCGTTCCTGAGAAAAAGGGTCATGATAGACAGACAGCCAGACAAACATTTAAATGTTCCTATTTTCCTTTTAAGGCACGGTACCCTAAAAATGACAAAGTCTATTGAATTCAAAAAAAATACCCTAAAACCATCTACAGACGATCCCGCGTGGATTAGTCAAAGTTCCAAGCCAATACGTTTAGTAGTTTTTACGTGATGGCGTGACATAGGAAATTATAAGGGAAATAAACGACAGATATTGAAAAAAAATAAATAAAACAAAGCCTTCCTTTAATTTTTAATACATCAGACAAATTGAAGATTGGTCAAATTTATTTTTTTCTATTACAAACTCTTTTGAAAACCTCATAGTGTGCAGAATAAAACGTTCCCATAAAAGTCACAATATATTTTAAACTATAAGTGAGGATAATATGTTCAGTGAATTGTCAAAAAGATGGCGCAGATAAAGAATGGGATTATAAATGGCTTCTCATATTCACTTTTTACTCACTCATAGACAATTTATAGCAAAAGTATAATAGTATTAGAAATATTATTCTACTTCCAAAAACAGAAAACGCCAATGATTAACTTCACCCGACTCAAGAGTCGAACCCAGGACCTATAAATGAACTATATGTACAACCAATTTAATTTTTATGATATTATTAGCGAAATAAAAAACGGAACTGCCAATTCTAATCCTATTCTTTACCTGCACAGGTAATAAATAGTATAAATAACACAAAAACCAGTACACACAATACATTTTGTGCTAATGTTAAACCTGAAACCTCCATCGTTACACAAAATAAAAAGGATAAAAAAAATTAAAAAAGTCCGTTATATTCTATACTCATATACATTTTATCCTGCACATTATATATGTAATTGTAACATGTAATACAAAAAAATCGTCATTTTGACTAGACATTACTTAACCAGGCACTTTATAAAACGTCACACAAACTCAACCAGTCCATACAATTGTCACAACACTAAACAAAAACCGTACAAATACAGACTGTGTAAACTTCTCAATGATTATTTCATATAAAACAATGTAGAAAAGTTAAATTAATTACTGTCAAGTGCGAGATCAATTTAAATTGTAACATACAAAAATATTAGCACCATTTTTAATTTTAACCAAAAATGGAAATGAAATTTGTTTATGACCCTTACATATATTTTAAAATATTTGAATAAAAATTATAATTATAAATAATAAAAACTGACATGTCTTGCTTTTGAGATAAATCTTGCATTATCAAGTTTAAAATTATTAGCAAAATGAAATTATATAACTAAAAATTAGTAGATACAAGATTAGGGTATGGTGTTACCATTTAAATTGACCTCCCAACCATTAGGTAATATTTTCATTAAACAAAAACTAACATGCAACTCTTTTATCAGATTTGTTTGTTGCTAAATTACATTTAGATTCTACTTTAGAATCGGTCGCTTCCACTGATTCATCTTTTGAATCCTCTTTTAATACTGTTTTATCTAATATAACTTCTGAATCATTTACATCTTCGATTTTGTTATCCGGTTCAACTTTAGGTTCGTCAGATTCAATTATTTCTTCAACTAATACTGCTTGGTCTAATTCAACTGTCTCATTTTGCTTTTCATTAACAATTTCAAGATCGCACAAATTGATATTTGCCATATTGATTGCTTGAATCAGGGTTTCCATAGCTTTACTATCTACTTTCTCTTCGGGACTGTCTTCACCATTTGGCTTTACTTCTTCTACACTTGCTTGATTCTCTTCAGAACTATCTTTAGTGTTCGCACCATCTTCTAATTTTTCAACTTCTTGATTAGCTTTTTGTTTGTCGCTCTTATTCTTTTTAGACTTAGACTTTTTCTGTTTCTCTGGTTTTGGAGATTCTTCCTTTTTATTCGTTAACACGTTTAATTGGCTCTGTAAATGCGCGAGGCTTTGCCTCAGTTGTGCACAGTTGGCTGCCATGGCGTCCACCTGGTGTTAAAAAAAAAAACAAATAATATAAATGGATATTTTATTAAAACTTGATTAATTGTCATTCCTAATATTATAACAAAAAAACTTGAGTTTAAACTAAAACTTATTTATTTCATTTTAGAAAAGATGGTATTCTTGAACTTTATATATTTTTAGCATAATTTTTGTGTAATTGAAATTAAAAGTACATCATAATTTAATACTAAAGAGTGTATGTTTGTTCTTGTAAAAGTCTTCATTCTCACGTGTCACATATATCATTTGTAAGTAACAAACTTCATATACAAAACACCCAGTTAGTAGAAATACATTTTTTTACATAGAATAATATAATTGTAGCTGTAACATAAACATACATTACATAATGTAAATATAAAAAGTGCGAAAGCTGGTTTTTGAGCATGCTTCTCAAGCGAGCGCGTTACCACTGGGCTACCACTGCCTCAAGAATAAACAAAGTGAATGAATAATATCTATAATAATATTATAAAGAGAAAAATTTGTTTGTTTGTACCGAATAAGCTCCGAAACTTCTGAACCGATTTAGATGAAATTTAGTAAGAAGATAGTTCGAGACCCTGGGAAGGATAAAGGACAGTTTTTATCCCGGAAATCATCCCTTAAGAAGGTGAAAATAGGGATAAAAGTTTGTATGGGGAAGCAACTTAGGGACGAACCCCAGCGAAGCAAAGGTGAGTCGCTAGTAGGTAAATACAACGCATACTTTTCCAATCACAAAATAAACAATGAATGAATAAACGAACGAACAAATGAATGAACGAATGATTGAATGAATAAATAAATCAAAAGAATATATAACGAAAGTTAATACCTTAGCATTACTGGCGGGCGTGTGCGCCGGCGGCGGCGCGGGCGCGGGCGGCGGGGACGGCAGCGGCGGCCGCTCGATGTTATTCTCTTTGAGAGTGCCCAGCAGCACCGTGCGCTCTGCCTGAAAAACATATCATATTCAACACAATATTATAATTATGTATTCTTATCTACAATTCAATTTAAGACGACACGTTTGGCTCAGTTTGTAATTTTTTTTGTACTTGCTGTACCAGCGGTCGCGAGTTCGAGCCCCGCTGGGGCCATTCATTGATGTGATGAGCACGAATGTTTGTACTCTAATCATGGGTGTTTATAGTTAAAATATGTATGTATTTAAAATTATATATGTGTAGTGTATAAACTATCTGGTATCCATAACACAAGCCTTGTAGCTTACCATGAAACTAGATGGTGCTGTGTGTTAATGTCCCAACATATTTATTTATTTAATTCATTCATTTAATTTTCTTTTCACTAGCTTCAAAGCGTGCCAGTTGAACACAAATTACATCGTCAATGTCACATAGAATGGGGAAGAAAAGAAGAGAGATTGATATTCTTATTTACACCAATATTATAAAGAGATTTGCAAGTTTGGTGTAAGCTGTATATCTCTAAAACTACTGATCACAGAAATCATTACAACTTTAATTGAAGTCTGAAAAAAGTTTCCATTCATTTTCAAAATCGTAACTGAATTACAAACATTACTTACATTTTAAAAATGAGTGTCTAAAAATAATTTCTTTAAGGGATTTTAAATTCTAACTTGTTAGAAACTATCTGTTGTCAGGTCTAAAAAGCTCAATAGCAGAGTTATGTGACCCAATGGCCACATTCAGATAAATCTTTTATTTAGTGATAACTAATATGATAGTATAATCTTAAACTGTTGCCTCACTTCAGATATCTTTCTCGGAAGGACTTTTTATTATAAAAACTAAGTTAATATTAACACACATGTATGTATTTAAAACTTTTTAATAAAGTTAGATAGTTCAAGGGTTCTATTTTGTTGAAAAAAGCATCAGCTTAGAACACACATGTACGCACATTTGTAACATATTTAAAGAATTTACAACTAACAATTAAGAAATAAAGACAGTTGTAACCATTCTTTGGATCAAGAAATTTGTTTTAATACAACCCCATCCTGACTACTTAACTCCCGATAGTATTTTTTTTGTATTACATTAACAGGTGTTATCAATGCAAAGAATAGAACTATAGAGATTAGAGTGGCTGTTTAAGCATATACTGTAAAGATTGAAGTAACAGGGATTTAATCTTACTTCTTACTAATATTATAAATGTGAAAGTTTAGATGGAATTCTGGATGTTTGTTACTCTACCACGCCAGACCTGCTGAACGGATCTGGATGAAATTTGGCACAGAGATAGATTATAGTTTAGAATAACACATTATATTTGGATATAACTTTATTGCTAGTTAGATTATTTTAACATGAAGAATTTACTTCCTTTAGATTATATTTAAACACAACGTAAATTGAACATTAATTATTATCAAAAATTATTGATGGTATACATCAAAATCAGATGCAATAATAATTCATAGTTAATTTCAAGAATAATAAAGTAAAACAAGGTAATAATAAACCATCCATACTAATATTATAAATGCGAAAGTAGCACTGTCTGTTTTTTTCCAAGCTTAATCTGCTAAACTAATTTAGAGGAAATTTGGTATTAAGATAGTTTAAAAACCTGGGAAGGATATAGGATAGTTTTTTAACCCGGAAATCATACTTTAAGAGTTAGAAAAGGGGGGTGGAAATTTTGTATGGGGAATCAATAATTTCTCAAGTCAGAGATATAAAATTAATCATACCTATGTCTATATAGTCTATCTATTCCATACTAATTGTTAAAACGTACCTAGGGACCCGAGCAAAACGAGGGTGAGTCGCTAGTGTTCTAATAAATACCATTATTTTTTTACAGACTGTACATGTATGTCTGAATACTATATTCAATATTCTTCCTATTATTCTGAACTCACCTGTAAAGTGCGACACAGGCTCTGCATCTGCGCTAGATGCCTCGCTGCGAGGGCAGCCCTCTCTTCGCTCGCTTGTCTCTCACCGCACATATCCAGTAAAGCTGTTTGTGATGTTTCCCATCTTTTCTTCCATGATAACGACTCCTTCTCAAGCTTTTGGATCTTCTTTGACATCTGGTGATTGACCGAGATTGTTTTGTATTAGAAAATTGTTAGGAAATAAGTGGTATTGTCATATGTTAAGAGGTACAGGAGATTTCTATATTAAATGCCTAAACTAAAAATGAAAAATATTAGAAGACAGATAAAGACAAAGAAAAAACTCACCTAAAATTTTATAAAATAATATGAAAAATATGCACCTATAGGATTGAAAATAACCTAAGACCCTTAAAGTTTGAAATAACCAAAACATTTTAATGCAGAAACCAAATTTTATTAAAAGATTAACTTAATTATTAATTTATAAAAGAAAAAAAAAATGTCTTTAAACAACATGTACTCACTTTCTCCATCTGCTCTTTAAAACCACCAAACACTTGGTTACTCTTCACCAAAGCGTTCTGGAACTCGTCATACTTGTCAGTATACACTGCCAGCTGACCCTTCAGAGCTGTCTCCGTACCCTGAAGTTCCATTATTTTTGCTCTGTACTGTGCAAGAGTCACTTTTAGCTGTTCCATTTCCGCTAATATGCGTTCTCTTTCAGCTTGGTGCTCTAAAGATGCCTTTTGAAGTTTGGCATCCGACAGTTGCGATTCTAGTGCCATTTGCTTAGCCATTTTGTCTACCTGGAATTTTATTATGAAATTATTGGGTATTGGCGTTGATTTGTTTGCTAAATCAAACAAATATTAATACTACATACAGAGGTAACCCGACAATATTATCAGCTGCTTTTATCGAGCCGTCCCGCACCCCCCACTCCTAAAACTATGCAATGCTCAACCTCACCTCAACTCAACAGAAGGTATGATTGCATGGCAACATCAAAGGATATTACACAAAAAGAAGAAATCATCAAACATTAAACACTGTGTAAAAATATAAAAACTAAAGAGTAAAAATGAATTGCATCAAAAACATATTATTGAGATAAATGGTCATCAGCACTATCTAAGTACCTGTTGTTCTCGTAACTGATACTGCTGAACTACACTTTTAAACTTTTCTGTCATACTAATATTGTCATCCCTTAATTTTGCATTCTTCTCGTTATTCTGTTGTAAAAGAGACGTTATTTCTGTAAGCGTGTTTTGGAACTTAGCTTGAGTTTCCTTACGCCTTTCTTCTTCTTCACGAATTTTGAGTAGAGATTCTTCCTAAAAAGTTTTAAGCAATTATTGTGATTTAATTTATTTATTGAATTTTAGAACATTGCATGATGAAAATATTTGTTTAAAACTGTATAATTTTTAGTTTTTTGTGAATCGTGTTTGATTCTAATACACAAACAATAATGATAATTAATGCAGTGAAAAGATAAAAGGTGAGAAGAAATCTCAACATTTTTATGTTATACAACAATAATACAATATCCATATTCACATGAAAATTGTAGAAATATTATGACTTTTAATTATAAAGCCAATTTCCATTCATATTACATTAAAAATTTTACAAGCAAACAAACCTTAATAGCCTTATTCTGTTTTTGCAACTCCCGGCAGAGATTTTCAAGCTTCGACTTGACCAAAATAGTTTTATTGAATTCATGTTGCAATTGTTCTTTCTCTTTTAACAATAAAGCATATCGTTTGTCAGACTGTTTAATATAAAATTGAAGCTTTTTATTGTCATCAGCTGTTTGTACATATTTTTTACATACTAATGATAACTTCTCATCTAACGTTGGTACTGAATTTAAAGACTTCATAAATTGTTCAACATTTTTGTCATCTTTTTTGGAACGGTCATCTTTTTTAGATTTCTTTGGTGGGTCTTGAGGTGGAGGCTGTGTTTTTTCCTGAAATCCATACTAATTTTTGTAGCATATTTATTACTAATATTATATATAAAGTTTGTGAGTTTGTGAGGTTGTAGGAGGTAATCTTGGGATCTACTGAAACAATTTAGATGAAATTTGGTAAGAAGATATTTTGAGACCATGGGAAAGATATAGGATACTTTTTATTCCAGAAATCATCCCTTAAGGGGGTGAAAATGAGGATAAAAGTTTGTATAAGGAATCAAGCTAGGGACGAACCTGAGCAAAGTGAGGGTGGGTCACTAGTAATCATATAAAGAATTTATACAAAACAACTTATCTTAATAAGCTCTATGCTATACCTTTACAAATACAAAAGTCAAATATTATCTCATTAAGCATACAACCATAGCAACAACATTCTGTGCATCTTTTAAAGTTTACTCCATCACATAAAATCAATAACGGCATCAAGTTATCCTTAACCATAAAAGAATAAAACGTGCTTCTGAACAAAAATATCGTAAACATTTTAAATCTGGCATAACGCCAAAATAGTAGGTACAGGTTAACTTACCTATTTATTTAAAGTAATATTAAGTAGTATGCAACTTAATATGTATGGACAATCTCACTTTAACCGTATTATATCAAATTAAATTGTATTTTAAATAATTACAAATATTTTAAATAATCCGTCGTCACCTGATATTGTTTTATTTCTATTTATAAAACAAGGTGCAACTTAATATGTACTCACTTCAACATTGTTTACCGGTAAAGGATTCCCTGAACTTTCTTTTGGTATTTCTTCTGTAGTAACTTCCATTTTCACAACTTAGTGCTTCTTGAATTTAGCTAACTAAACAAAACTGAAATAGTTAGATGCCAATAATAGTAACACTAGTGAGGTGCTGACTTGCTGAGCTCAATAAAACTGTCTTTTCGTAGGGCCGGGCTGTCAAAAATTATATCGACTTCGAGTCTAGCAACACTAAAAACAAGTTTACAAGCACTAATTATAATCGTTATTTTGAATGTGAACGAAATCCCAAATCCTTTTTGGCGGTTTCAAACGTCTCTATCCTGTCTGCCTGTCCTTCTAAATTCTCCTACCCAATTAATAATTAATGTATATAGTGAATTATATTATAAAATTATATAATCTATACAGATAAATAAAATTGAAGCGTCTGTTTGTAATGTCAAAAAACAGCGTTTTATTCGTACTAAATGCTTATGAAATTATATACGTTATTTATAAGAAAAACACATATTGTCTGTTTGTCTGTCTGTTTCGGATAATCTCTGAAACGGCTTCACTGATTGTGACGGGACTTTCATTAGACTATAGCTGATGTTATAGCGAGTAGCATAAGCTACTTTTATTTTAGAAAAAGAATTAAGGCTCCGCTCAAAAAAAAATAAAACGTACCTAGGGACGAACCCAAGCGAAGCGACGGTGAATCGCTACCTAGTTAATGTATAAAATTGTTAGTTAATGTTTGTGTTAAATCCATTATGTAGATTTCTGTGTACATTATGTATATTAAATGTAATAATATTTAAAACGAGTCACTCCGTTACTTTCTCTTTGGTCATTCTAAATATGATGTGTCTTCTCCATTCTAGACAACATTGATGTAATAATTGTGCCAAATCTGCACTCCTAGCAAATATTGAATTGCAGAAGAATAGAGTAATTTTATTTTTTTGCCTATTTTAAACTTCATCTTTATGAAGTAAATGACAATATCATTTTACTAATTTTAATTTAGGAAAAATAAGTTTCAAGCTGGTAATATTTATATTGCCACTAGCGACTCACCCTCGCTCCGCTCGGGTTCGTCCCTGGGGTGGGATCTGGGAGGACCACCCTTATCCTTATCACTTAGGGGTATGAAAAATAGATAGTAGCCGATTCTCAGACCTACTGAATACGCATATAAAATTGCATCAAAATCGGTCAAGCCGTTTCGGAGGAGTATGGTAACGAAAACTGTGACACGAGAATTTTATATATTATTAGATTACTGAAAAAATAATAGTATGTATGAATAAATAATAGTATGTATATTTGTATATACAGTACATCTAAGTATATTAAATTAAATATAAATATAAAAACCACAAAATTGTAATCGATATTTAATATTCGTAAGTACACATCACTATGCTGGAAAACGTTCAAAAACATTTATCAAATATATAAATCAAATAAGTATAATATATAAAAAATAATATGGTAATGAGTGATAATAAAATTGTTATTAGTATTCTTATTACCGAATCAATATATAATTCACAAATAATCTAAAAATATATTACGAAATTGTATTTTTCTTAAAAAAAAATATAAACTGCTACAAACTAGTTTAATGCGGTTTGTGGCATAATGTTACCAATTAATATTTTGTACAATATTGTAGCTTTATGTGTCATTTATTTGTTTTGTTTTATTTCCCCCCATAATAATGCGCTTGTTTTATACTAAAGACAGTTTTCTTTTAATTTACTTGAATTTATTAAAAAAAATGTTTTCAAAATTCTATTACTGATCAATTATGTATACAAACTTATGATAATACTATTATAAAAACTTTTGATAACTAGTTTCTTAAATTGTAATAAATATGATAAAAAGCCATTGTAAATTATAGTTCAATATCAAGGAAAACTTCTCAGTAATAATTTAACTATATAGCTAGCAACACAGGAAATGTCAAATTTATTGTCGTCTCTTTTCTGCATTCATTCAACTTCATTCGATCAAAAAGAAAGAAACCGATTGGAGGTGAGTGATCTTATTTTATTACACAAAATATTCGAAAAAACTGCAACCTAAAGATGAATTATTACACAATTAATTAAGTAACATTAATTTATTATTATTGACGTCGCCATATATAAGCATATTAGGTGTTGGTTTTCCTTTGTAATTTTTGCCGGCCGGGAATAGTTTAGCGAGCCGTTATTTTTCAAGATTGTAAGGTCAATGTGCTTACTGTAGTCGAGCGTTGGTATGGGCGGATTTTACATATATCCGCTTAAACCGCAACATTACAGATTCTTTCTCGCCTTTATATCGTCAAAAACCGTTAGATTCGATGACTGTCATAGTAATTTGGCTGTTGTCTGACGTATGGAAAAAAACAGTTAGTCATAATTATTGCAGCATACGTTCTTTGTTATGCTTAGGTAGTTATCATAACATTCTTTCTGAATTTTACTGCATAAATATTCTCTGTTATATATTATTTTTATTATTAATTTATTAATTTAAATTTTTTTAATAGATTCCTTGAATATATATTTTTTTCATTTATTAGTAATCTCAACCACCCCAATATAGTTTAACTAATAACAATCATTGCTTATTAAATGTATTTACATTCCATATCAAAATGTAGAGAGTAGATATTTTCTGAATATTGATAATATTTTATCTTTTATTGACTATTAAAAGGAAATTTATGTCAGCATTACATATATCTTATCATTAATCTTTACAAATCAGTCGTGTCCTGCCATGCAAAAGTTACTCATTCGGAAATGTTGAAATTTTTAACAGTATATTTGAATATTTTTTCACATTTAAATTTTAAAGTATAATGTAGGTTATCTATTTTATATTTAGTACTTTTTTTAGTGAATTTTATGATATGCATAGTAGTTGTCGCAGATATTTTGACAAAGATATTACATGCATAAAATATAGCAGTTTACAATAATTATTATAAAATATTAAAAAATGCTGAAAATTATTAACTACATGAATTATAAACTAAGATATTTATAAAGAAATAGATCTAGATTAATGAACATTATAAACGGTAAAATTATTTAAGATCCAATTATTAGCTTGAAATTTAGTGTTTGTCATAATAACATTATTTTATAATTCAATTCATTTGCTGTTGCTCTTGTATGTCAAATTATTTCAGTTTTATTTCTATATTTTTGATTACTTGAGTTTGTATTATTCTAAATAAATGTTTATAACATTTTATAATAATAAAAAGAGCTTTATTTTGATAATAATTTTTAAGCTGTAATAGCTGCTGTTTTTTAGTAAAATAATATTCAATATTAATGTCATTGTTCGTTACAACGTTGCAAAGAAAGCAAAGAAGTCATAAGAAATTGTCAAGGGTATTGCTTAGGGAAAAGCAATTCATATTCATTTTATGGCCTAAACAATAAGGAATCTTTGACATTATATAAGTACTAGATATTTATATGCTAATGGAGCTGCCAGTTTTATAGTCTGTATCTTTATTTTTATATGAAATATTTTTATAACACCCATATAATTATTTTATTTTTAATTAATTAATAGTTATTCAGAATTTATTATGTTGAAAAATTTGTATAACATTGTATATATTTATTATATTTACATAATTTTCCATTGTGCTCTTTATTGTTGTTATACAGCATCTGAGTCTTAATAAATAGTTTTTTTTTAGAAAAAAAATATTGAAATAGTTATCCGTTTCCCAGATTAATGTTGTTAGGTACTCTATATATGTATCTAAGCACATTATTATGTACTGGCACTCTACTACTACTCACTCAGGTTCTTCCCGAGTGAAAAACATACACAAATCTATTCCATGGGAACCACACATTTTCCGGGATAAAAATAACCTATGAGTTTTTCCAGTCTATAATCTATCTCTGTGCCAAATTTCATCCAGATCCGTTCTGCCGCTCTGGCATGAAAGAGTAACAAACATCCACCTAAACCTTCGCATTTGTAATATTTATGGGATATAATGGAGTTCGATTTTATTAAAGTACAATAGACAATATACATGTTTCTTGAAACAAAAAATACAAACATTCTAAAAAATTATAATTTTTATGGTGAATAAATATAAAATTATCCACAGCACAATGACGATTCGATTTTTTCTAACACAATCCATTAATGAAAAGTATAATATTATTCACACAATAATCTACATAGAACAAAGATGTTATTAAAACTTAATACATATATTTTGCATCCAGTAAATTTTCCATTGGTCTAATTTGACATGTTAGTTACTCCCCATATCTTCCATACTTCCTATCAGTAGTTATCGGATAGCATATCCCATGGCACCCTTGTTGCACCATATTTGCAAACCCCTCTATTTCCTCACATGCGGTTGTAACGTGATAGCGTGAAGTGCCTTAGCTAATCAGTATACAGTTACCAAATAAAGCGTATGTTATTGTAAATTCGTTTTGTAAAACTGATAATATATCGTGTTTAAAATTGATGTTATCTATAAAAAGTTATTTAATTTTTTTTTGATTCTAACTAAACTTACAAAATTATCAAATTGTATATATAGTTTTACAAATATCTTATACAATTTTAACTAAAATAAATCTTATTCAATTTGACGTTTTCTCGTTATTCCGTGAATCGTCTTGGTAATCTCTCTCGTGAGTCGTCGCCATGTTTGTAAAGCATTCGAAACGTTCGGGAACCAAAATCTTAAAAAAAAACGTTCCCGTAAATCTAAGAAAATATTATATTATATTCTTTACTAATGATAACCTATTATTTAAAACTTTTCCACATTTTCCAATATAGGCAAGTCGAGCGAAAGGTAGTAATTCATAATACATAAACATAAAAATGATTTCGCATAGAATTGTTAACATTCTCAATAACTATTAAATATGACTGTCGAGAGATCTCGTCAATGGCACGATTCACAGGATTTCCGTTGAGTCATTTGACGTCTTACGACTTTCTTTCTTTGCACGATCTGTTTTATTATATATTGCTACTTTTTTCTTGTAATTTTATTAGATACTTCGTTTTACTTTATAATTTTATCTAGCGACTTACCCACGCTCAGCTCGGGTTCGTCTCCACGTTTTAAGGTTAGTATAGATTTCTCAGAGATGAGATATTTTTTCGCATTAAAAAGTATCCTATATATTGACTCAGATAACCAGCTATCATCATACCAAATTTCATTAAAATCTGTCCAGTGGTTTTCTCGCTAGGTTCCTTGATAGACAGACAGACAAAAATTCTAAAACTATAAATTCGGCCTCTGTATCGACCAAAAAAAAATTTAATGTACAGATTCGACTTAGAATTTTATTATATGTATACATATATAATATAAATATTTATACAAATTTTCGTTTTAATTTTTAATTTTAATTACATGAACTTTTTATTATTCATTGTCTAATATGGGGATTGTCTTACAAAATATTCCAGTCGAAAGCTCCAAAGTTATGAAGCGATTGAGAGCGATAAACTTGCCAACTTAGGCATATTGCTATTTAAGTCTTAATTGCATACAAAACAGTGTAAATACAAATTGTTCGCATATCCTTTATATAGAAACGTATACCGGTTTGTAATATTTATAGTGTCTCAGCTTATTCCAAATGAGATTGTAAGAGATGACTCATATTATGTACTATGCCATTACCATAAGTATGTCTTCTAACGTCGTGTTTCGCTCGACTAACTTAACTAAAAATTTGACTTCTGCTTATAGTAAAGTGTTGGTAAACAAATATTGAAAGTTTTTAAGTTGGAGCCTAATGACAAAAAAAAGGTTAGTGATTCATCTTATCTTGTAGAGAAAATTACTGGTTTTTACTAACAGTAGTAAATTTCACGCTTAATTGAAGTAATCAGTAACCGTTATCTATACTAATATTATAGAGAGGTAAATTTTGTGACGTAGTAGGGGATAATCTCTGGATCTACTGAACCGATTTAGATGAAATTTGGTAAGAAGATAGTTTGAGACCTTGGGAAGCACATAGGATACTTTTTATCCCGGAATTCATGCCTAAATGGTGTGAAAATGGGGATGAAAGTTTGTATAGGGATTCAAGGTAGGGACGAACCCGAGCGAAGCTAGAGTGAGTCGCTAGTAACTTATAACATACAGTTTCAAATAGTAAGTCCGTGAGCGATATGTGCCGGTATATAAGTGGTTAGTATATATGTTGGAACATTAACACACATCACCATCTAGTTCCATAGTAAGCTACGAGGCTTGTGTTATAGATACCAGATAGTTGATATACTACACATATATAACTTTAAATACATACATATTATAAATATATACACCCATGACTGGAGTACAAACATTCATGCTCATCACACAAGTGAATGCCCCCAGCGGGACTCGAACTCGCGACAGCTGGCACAGTAAGTAGGGTTACTACAAACTGAGCCAAACGTGTCGTCAAATGTACCTATGTATCGTATGCGATATTATATTTACAATGTTTTGTTAGCCCTAGCAAGCAGTACATAAAATGCATATTTTATAATTTTCTTTGAAGACGTCAAGCAAATGCCTTTCTACCTAATAAATTCCAATCTCTATACGGTAAGCTGTTTGACGACCTTGTTGAATAAAGATTCGCTATCTCGTGATTGTCTCGACGTCCATCCATATAAGACGTTTCCGCTTCACTTACTAACTGCCAATACATGGCCGACGCCAATGTAACATGAGTCTGGTCTTTTTGTGATTATTTCCTATTTCATTTGAGGTATCTTATCAATTTAAGAGAATTTTTGGATGTTTTTTTACTGAAAATTTTAGTACTGACGCCATATTAAGACAATTTATTCTAATTATATTTGTAATCTGGGTTATGCTGTCCGTCTGTCCAATGAAGTAAAAAAAATATTAATCAAAAATAAAGAGGGGTATCTGGTTTTCTTTAAGAATCGTGGTCACTTATTAAGACTTTGAATTTGCTATTTTGCATCTACTTATCATGTTCTCTGCTTTATAAGGTAGC